ACCAGTCTGTTCAGTGGAATCGGTAACGTACTAAGCGCAGCGTCTAGTGAAGCTGGGACTGACGGTGAGGAATCGGGAGAAGACGAAGAAGCCCAGCTGGAGGAGGATCAAGCCGACAGCGAAGCAATGAAGGAGAAAGTGAGTGATGCATTTATTTATTTTTTTTTTTACAGTACACTTGTTGCTGCAGATATTGTTGCAGTTGTGTTATTCTTGGTCAGATAGCATTTGCATTTCGACCATTCGTTCGAGGCTAGTTTCAAACGTATGATAACTGGTTAAACAATTTCTGGTAGCATTTTGCTATGATTATTTAATTTATTTTTATGCTGGGTTTTTAACTGTTCTGCATACAATAATATGAACTTTCTTTTCAGGCGTTAAAAATGTCTGTTAAGCAGTACAGAGTTTACCAATGTAGCAAGACGTTTGCAACTTTCTTTAACTGAACTCAGAAAGCCAAAAAGCCAAGCAGTACTTGCCTAGTGAAAATCAATTGTTAATATGTGAGTTCTCACTGTTTGTAACGGTAAACAACGCTATACTCTGCTAGAGTGTCATTTCATTTTTGTCCGTTGTCTTTCCAACAGAGCAAGGAGAGGGCACAAAATGCTTTGAATCTTGTTTCACAAGTGGGAGATAGCCTGCTATCAACCAAAGCAGTTGGAGAGGAGCCTACTGTGTTCAAAACAAAGTCCTTGGAAGTTTTGTTAGATCGCCAGCGTAGCTCCGATATGGGAGGCAAGAAGCTTGGAGAAGGATCCAGTGGAGTGGCCCTGCCTTCTGGTAACTCGCTCTTTTCCAACAATGAGCAGTCGGCGCCCGAAGCTGTTGACTCCCAGGTATGATGCACCACCGAAAGTTACACAATCCTTAATTTTAATTGTTAGTTTGAAATTCGGCATGATTTGTTAAAGGAGATCAATCATGGCATTTTGAGTTACTTTTGCCAGGTACAAAATTACCTTTAAATTGAAGAAAACCTAAAAATAATACTTTGCCAAGGTAGCAAAACACCAAAGAGATAATTTTAAACCATAAAGCAGCAAGGATGGTTTAGGATGGAGAACGTTAGTACGGATTACAAACGACGAGCTTGACGAATTAAGGCTGGACTTCTGAAGATGCGCAAATCGTGAAGTAGCTGCTTTAAAAGCAAACGAGACTCCGTTGTGACCAGCAGTCTTGAAGGACTACCTCTCAAATATTCCATCTTTTTAAGTCATATTTACTTAATTTTGCTTAGATGTTGGCGTTCAAAAAGAACCCATTCACATGGGATAAAAGTGCTCAAACAGTCAGGTCTTCAGTGCTTGACTTCAAGCTCAAGGCTAGCGGTGGCGACACTTTGAACATCTCAGGACTTCCTGAACCTGTGGAACTCTTCATACCCATTGCCAGCAAAGAACAATCCTCTGAAAACGACAATAGCTCCGCTGAAAGTTTGTTCATGAAACCAAGCAACGGAACTTCAAATATTCGCTACCACAGGTTTTTGGTTTCATCTCACGACGTCCTCGTGACAATACAAATAAAGCCCGAGAAAGGTGTGACCATGGACGTGTTTGTCAACTACAAAACAAAGCCCACTCCTCACAGTAACGTCTTCAATACAACCATTCCAAACTTTTCGACGTGTACAAATATGACACGGACTTCTTCCGACAATCTAAACTGTTCCTCAGATCCTTACACATTCTCATTTTCGAGTCGCATTTCTGGGCACACTGGTACTCACTTCCTTGGAATTCGATACATTAAGAAAAATACCAAAGCCAGTGACATTGATGCAAGACGAAAGAGACGATCTTGTGGTCCACACCATCGGCGGGGTAAAAGGTCCTGCGTTGATGTCAAAGATGCCCCCACCACTCCTCCCCCGACGCCAATGATTATTATACCAACCTACAACTCTTCCACAGACGCTAATTATTCACTGAGCATTTCGGTCAGCGGTTGTCTCTACTGGTCCGAATCAAAAGAAAAGTGGACAAGTGAAGGATGCCGGGTAAGACGGTATTTACCGAATTTGCTCTTACTTTTAAGGACGTTACACAATGCCGGGAACTTATAAGAGATAGTCGATCTCAGGTATAAATCTTCCGTCCTAAACGCTAAACCGATTTGTTCCTCGGTGTTCTCACTTTTAACTCCTTGGTTGCACTTTGTAAATAGCCAACTGGTCAACCTCCCGCCAGCTAAAATTCTTCACAAGTCTTTTGATTGAGTGTATGTTCGGTTTTCTCCACTTTCTTTATTCATAGTGTCTACAATATAGTGAGCACAGCATCGACGAATCCACCAATCCTTTTAAGTGTTCTAGTGGTACTACATAAAGAAAATTATTTATTTTAGTTTAGTTACTCATTACTTATAGATCACTTCTCTGCAACAGACCTGGTGCAACAAAATCCATCATTCAATCGGTGGACCACCATAATAACGCCGAGTAAAATTGTCTAGATGTATGGGTCTACTAGCATCCTAAATTCGCACATCCAGTCAAAGTAAGGAGATTACGTTTCACGCCAAAGAGGGAAAAATTAACTAGAGAATATTTTTTCTTACTGTATCAGGGAAGTTACCGGGGCGGGGTTTAACCAGGCTGTTGTAAAGGAAGACGTTAGAGAGGATTTCGTTATTTGGAACCACTGACGATTTGGTTCCTGTTTGCGCATGATCAATTCTCTTACAGGTCGGACCAAAGTCAAACTCCAAGCAGTTGCATTGCCTTTGCACCCATCTGTCCGCATTCGGAGGCGATTTCTTCGTGGCTCCAAATCCCATAGATTTCGATAAAGTGTTTGCAGCATTTGGCAATCTGGCCGAGACGGGAAATTTTGTCGTGTTATCGACAGTATGTGTTATCCTTGGCTTGTATGTACTAGGTCTCGTACTGGCCAAGAGAGAAGACAAACGAGATGAACTAAGAGTGAGTACACTTGTAATTGATTATTTGCATTTCTTTCAGTCATAATATATTTCAATAAGTCGTTCTTAAAATGATAACAGAAACTGTTCTATTAAGCCTGCAGAAGTCCATAGATTTCTGTAATGTTGTGGATTAGAATCTGCCGACGTCTTCTCTTCGCCAGCTTGAGAATTTGAAAAGCATCCAAACTTGCTCCTAAAAAAGTACATAAATCTGAGCCGACTAGGTGACTCACGTTTTCACTCCTACAGTGTTGCCATATTGCACATATTCCGTTTCAGATTGTTGTTAACAGTGTTGCGCATCAAACTAAGTCAGTCTCTTTACTCAGGTCTTTGGCGCCTCTCAACTCGTGCAAAATTGGCGAGTGTCTGTTTAAAATTAGCATTTAGTTTAAAATAAAAATCAACCGAATGAAAGTAACCCACTCGTGACATGTATAGGAAACCCAATTATAATTGGCAATGAAATGTTTGGTTCCAGGACATCTTATTTTGCCGGCTGGGGTTCGACCGCTTGCTCTAGCACGTAGGAAGTCACCGAAACAAAATTGCCATTCAAGCCTGAGAAAACATCCAGAGGAATCAGGCAAGAACTAGAAAAAAAAGCAACCGTTTTACATGGACGGAGCAAGATGAAACGTGACCACGCCACAAAACAAAGGCCATACCCCATGCGAAATTACTCTTCAAAAGGTTTTCAGAGTTTTTAAAATTGTTTCAAAATAGTAACGTTTAGTCATTTTGTCTCGTTAGGTTGTGGCAAACGTTCTGATCAACGAGAATGAAGGAGAAAGCCAGTACAGCATCTCTATACAAACCGGTATGTGGCGCGCCAATGGAACCTCCGCGAATGTGGGTTTGGCCATTTATGGAAGCCAGGGAAACACGGAAGATATTACTCTGACTGATCCACACGCAGAAAAGATCTTCTTTTCCCGAGGAAGTATCAATAACTTCACCCTTTGCCTTCCGGAGTCACTCGGTTCGCTGGAGAAGATACGCATTTGGCATGACAACAGTGGCAACAATCCATCTTGGTTCTTGATGCAGGTGGTGATCGTAGATCTTGCTACTGGAGAGAAAGTGCATTTTGTTGCCAACAGGTACAATAGCTTACATTTCTCATATTCTCAACTTCAGTCCACAAACGTTCAAGTCTA